AGTGACTGTTAGATAAAAGGTTACACTATCAACAAATTCTCAGATACAAATTCACCCAAGTGTATTTCCCTCTCTCTTGTATTTGCAGTTTCAACTAAGCCCAGTTAAGGCACCAGAACAGACAGAAGTGGAGAATGTGGCCGGCACTTGCAGGCAGACTGCACACACAATGTGCCCAATGGTGTTATATGATCATTATCAGTAATAAAAAGAAGAGAGCCAAAAAGAGGTTTAATTTGGCACAGCCTCAGAGACACCTAACACATTTTGTCTGTGTCTTCAATAACCTTGGCCCGCAGACCTTCCACACCCACTTTCCACCCACAAAGCCAGGCTAAAAGCAAAACTAAATGGTAATCTCTGCCGTTTCCCAAACTTGTCCCTTCCTAAGAATCACTTGGGGTGCTTGTGAAAATGAAGTTTCCAAGCTCCCTTCCTGGAGAGTCCATGTCAGCAGATCTGAGATGAGGCCCAGGATTCCACATTTTACCAAGTGACTCAGGTAAATCTTATCAATAGGTAAGTTTGAGAAACACCACTGGTGCTGGCAAGGTTTCCCCAGTAAACCTTGTGCTGCTGTGGGCCAATCAAGATGAGTGGGGAAGGCAGCCTTGAATGGGGAGAAGCCCCCTTCGGACGTAGTAACAGAATGAGTACAGACAGGAGAGAGAGGCCCTGGGCACAGCACCCCTCACAGGCCAGGCAGGACTGAGCACAGGAGACAGAGGAGGAGATGCAGAGTGGGTGTGAAAGACACCAGAAAGAACATCCAGGGGTGGGCGGGCTCAACACGGCCAGATGCTGCCCACAGCCACTGACACCATGGACCACAGCAGCTCGGGTGGACAGGAGAGGGTACAAAGCTGACCACAGGGGTAAGAGAGCCTTGGGAGAGGGAGCCAAGGCCCTGAGCTAGATGTTCAGGATGACCCTGACTTACACAAGGAAACAGCATCCAAGAGGTCAGCAGCAGGACCCGTGACCACACACACAATCCCCGGACCCATCTGGGGGCCAGGGTGGGAACTCGGCACAGATGTAAAGGGAGACTTTAAACCATCCACACTTGTTCCCTTAGCAGGAGGACCTTCCGAGGGGAGAAAAGAGCTCAGGCCACAGCTAACGCAGGAACCAGAAGCTGAAGCCGGGATGGAAGGCAAGTCTGCAGGGGCAGTGGCAACAGCACCGTCCTGGGCTCCACCGTCCCCCTTGTACGCAAACTGCCCACTGAACCCCATGCCTGGCAGCCCCCCGGAGCCACAGAGCCAGTCCTCTGCTTCTCTCTCCCCCACACCCACCCAAACTGCACAGTCTCAGCCCCAGAGCCTGACTCCCACACCAGGAGCGCAGGAGGGGCCCAGCCGGCCCAGCCTGCCCAGCCAGGAGGGGCCTGGGCTCCGGAAGGTGTCACACCTGTCGGGCGTCTCCACACCCATCCCAACCAAGTGTGCCTTTCCCAGCACCTGGTCCTATGCCCAAAACCATTTTTCCAAAGCACTTCAGCACCACATGTAGGGAGGCAGTGGGGGAGAAGGACCCCTGACCTCAAAAGGCAGAAGCCTTGGGCTCGGGTGCTGGGGCCACCATAAAGAGCCGCGTGGAAATGGCACTCACTGAACCCCAGCTTTCAGAGGCTTTTCTTTCACAAGTGACACAGAGCACAAAGACCAAAGGAATGGGCTCTGGAGCCAGGCTGTCCAGGTCTACTGTTCCTTAACTTAAATGTCCACCTGTGTTTATGAGTTATTTAACTGTTTGAAGCCTCATTTTTCGCATCTATAAAATGGGGATAACTATACATGCCCCGCGAAGAACTGTAAAAACAGGGCCTGGCAACAGTGTGGACTCCCTGTCACCCTCGTGACACTATGAAGTCATCTTCCAAGATGCATCTATTAACAAACAGTCTCCTCATCTGTAATTAAGACGTGTTATTAGTAAACCTGTGATAAAGATGTATATCAGACTGGTAGAAATAATGTCAAGAACAAAAGAAAAACAAGTTAGTTAGCCCCAAAAGTCAGATGAGTAAAAAAATTAACAACAAAAGTGAAATACTGCACACGAGGTGTACCTTGAACAGGAATTTCTCCGTAGTTTGGTCTCTTATCTGACAGGGCTGTCAGGGGTTTAGATGTAGAGATTGGTCCACTTATGGAATGTCTCTGAAATTATAAGACAAACAGTGTCCAAATTAGGTTAAATTAACAGAGTAAATATTGCAGAGAGTAAATATTTAGTTATGAATTTGCATAATTCCTTCCACACTGTTACAGTAAGACTGAAAAAAACACACACACTCCCAGAGGCATATAATGTGATCAGTATACTATTTTAAAACGAACACAGAAAGATCCCACATGCCCCTCACTCGCCAATCAGCAAAATCCAGATGTGCTCCTTTAGTACTTGGATTGGCCATTCATGCCCCAGTACCAAATGGATCTCACTCTGTCACCTCCTCACTAAGTCTCCAACACCGCTGCCGGGCACAACCTGGCACCTTAACTCAGCACCAGCTTGGTCACTGGCCTCCTCCCCTCCGGTCTCATACATAGACGTACCTACCAAATACTTGAACCCTCTCGGCTCTCCTGAGCCACCTCCCGCCACCTCTGTGTGATGCCCCAACACCACCGACTACTTACTCCCGCCCACGAGGACACGCTGTTCACCAGCTCTGGGCTTGTTCTCATGCTTCTTTCCTCAGCTCTCCCAGCCCTTTTTTTTTTTTTTTTTTTTTTTGCGGTACGCGGGCCTCTCACCGCCGTGGCCTCTCCCGCTGCGGAGCACAGGCTCCAGACATGCAGGCTCAGCGGCCATGGCCCACGGGCCCAGCCGCTCCGCGGCACGCGGGATCCTCCCGGACCGGGGCACGAACCCACGTCCCCTGCATCGGCAGGCGGACTCCCAACCACCGCGCCACCAGGGAAGCCCTCCCAGCCCTTTTTTATCCAGCTGAATTCTGACTACTCATTCCATAGTCCCAGCAGCAACGTGTGAGAGGGCCAGCCTCCCCACACCCTCACCAACACTTGATACTGGCAGTCTTCATTTTAGCCATCCCGAAGGTGCGTACTGAGATATCATAATGGATTTAACTTGCATTTCCCTGATGACTACGATGTTGAGCAACTTCTCATGTGTTTATTGGCCATATGTGTATCTTCTCTTGGGAAGGGACTTTTCAACTCTTGTCCATTATTTATTGGGTTGTCTTTTTTTTTTTTTTTTTTTTGGTTTAAATTAAATTTTAGGATCTTCAAAGTGTACAATATGATGATTTGATATACATATACATGGTGAAAGAATTCCCACCATCAAGTTAATTAACACATCCAACACCTCACATATTGACCTTTTCTTTTCTTTCTTTTTTTTTTTTTAACATCTTTATTGGGGTATAATTGCTTTACAATGTATTGGGTTGTCTTGAACCAAGACGACAAACGAGTCTTCTCTGAATACAAGATTTTGACAGATAAATAAATTGCAAATATATTCTCCCCAGTCTTGTCTGTCATGTTCTTAATATCTTTCAGAGAAGTTTTAAATTTTGATGCCCAAGCTATTAATTTTCTTTTATAGTTCATTTTTTTGTGTGTCCTAAGTAAATTTTTGCCTTGTCGAAGGTCATGAAGACTTCCTCTAATGTTTTCACATAGAAGTTCTGTAGTTTTAGCTTTTACATTTAAGTCTATAGTCAATTTCAATTTTTATGAATGCCATGAGGTAAAGGTTTTTTTCTTTTTTTTTCCATATGGATATCTAGTTGTTCTGGAATCCTGTTGAAAAGATTATCCCTCTCCCACTGAATTACCCTGGCACCTTTGTTGAAAATCAGCTGACCTATTTCTGGATTCTCTATCTATTCTACTGATCTAAACTTATGTCAGAACCACACTGTCTTGATTACTCTAAGTGCTAACATCAAGTAGTGGAAGTCCTCCAAATTTGTTCCTTTTTCCCCCCCCAGATGCTTTGGATATTCAGGGTCTTTTAAATTTCCACATAAATTTTAAATTATACTATCAATTTCTACAAAACAGCGTGCTGGGATTCTGAGTTGGATGAGTTGAATCTACAGCTCGATGTGAGGGAGAACTGCAAGATCCTAACAAGACTGAATCTTCCAACGCATGAACATGATGTATCTTCCCATTTATTACGCCTTTAACTTCTCTCAGCATTATTTTATAGTTTTCACTACAAGGTCTTGCACAATATTTTATTCAATGTATCGCTAAATATTTCAATTTCCAATTGTTCACTGGAGTGACTGAATCTAGGAGATAGCAAGAGGAGTCCTCAGACAGAAGTGAGTTTTCTGACCACCTTATCTTGTAAGGGACAGCTCATCACTTCTGCCACATTCTGTTCATAAGAAGCAAGTCACGAAGCCCAGCCAACCCTCAGAAGAAGCAGATGACACAAGAGCACAGCAGCAGGAGGCATGGATCACTGGTAAGCAGTTCAGAGACTGCCTATCCCGTTACTAATGGATCTCCTTGGACCTTTTGAGGTTGTTTTTAAGGTCATTTAGGGCAGATCTAGAATAGTGTCTACTCTAGGGCTATTTAGTTCCACTTCACAGAGTGGTCACTGAGGTCTCTAATGAATGCTCCAAGTATTCAAAGAGGTTTTTCCACGGTGGCCAGTAGGAACTCAAATGATCCCTGCTCTGTGTAAACTATGGGAAGCATCTATCTGCCAGATTCCCGGTAACTGATCTTTCCTGCAAAATCGTTCTTGCCCAGCCTTGCAGGGTTCAACCCATGTCTACGCATGTGCAGACTGGCACTCAGCAAGGACTCAAAGGGAGGCCTATGCAGAGCTCTAGACCTTTTCTGCGTGGCTCTCTCCTCCCAGGCACCCTGCCCCCAAATCCCAGCCCTTGTTCTCCCTGTACATTGATCTGTGTCTCCTCGGATCCAGCTGGCATTCCCTTCCCTGCTCCGTGTGGGTTCATCCTCCCTGCTCACCATCTGGAAAAGCGTGGGCCACAGTAGACTCAGCTTTCTTAACTTTTCTCCAAAGATTTCAGCCCTGCACCGCCTGTCCTACCACGTATGAATGTAACTGCTTCCTACATTTTGTCCAGCCTTCTAGCTGTCTGTGGTGGCAGAATAATCCAGCCCTTGACTCCCTCACAGCCAGAAGTGGAATTCCCACTCAGGGAGTTTTGAAAAACTAACAATCCTAATCTTAGGCCCCATTCCCCAGGGATTCTTGTTCACTGGGATGAAGCCTGGGAATCTACGTGTTTAAAAATTCCACGTAACTTTTGTGCACAATTAGGTTTGAGAAGCACTGTGCTAACTAATCAAGTACTAAAAAGCTACTGAATGTGGCTCATAATTACTAGTTTTTTTTCCAAGTTAGAGAGATGACATTTTTTACCTCTTATCTTTATACAAGTTTACAGAGTGATGCCATGAACATTAAATTTCAACTGACAAACACTATTTAGAGAAACTTCACCTTATATCTTGCACCTTCATCTGCTTTCATTTATATCTTCAACTTTTTTTTTAAATGTTATTTTTGATTCTGTTTTTCTTTCTTTTATTAAATATTTATTTATTTATTTGGTTGTGCCAGGTCTTAGTTGCGGCAGGCAGGCTCCTTAGTTGCAACATGCATGTGGTATCTAGTTCCCTGACCAGGGATTGAACCCGGACCCCCTGCACTGGGAGTGTGGAGCCTTATCCACTGCACCACCGGGGAAGTCCCTATTTTTAAAAATTAATCAATCACTCAATTAATTAATTAATTAGGCTGTGTTGGGTCTTCATTGCTGTGTGTGGGCTTTCTCTAGCTGCGTCGAGCAGGGGCTACTCTTCGTTGTGGTGCGTGGGCTTCTCACTGTGGTGGCTTCTCTTGTTGAGGAGTATGGGCTCTAGGTAAGTGGGCTTCAGTACTTGTGGCACATGGGCTCAGTAGCTGTGGCTCATGCGCTTAGGTGCTCCACGGCATGTAGGATCTTCCCAGACCAGGCATCGAACCTGTGTCCCCTGCATTGGCAGGTGGATTCTAACCACTGTGCCAGCAGGGAAGTCCCTCTTCATGTCTTTAGAAAGTTTGATTAATCGAGTATATAAAAAGCTCATTATAGACAGAATATGGAATTCCCTTTGTCTTCCTTTCAAATTAAGAGTATAACACCTTCTACATAAACGTAAATGCAAAGCCACAACTTGCAACATTACAAATGCAGAGGGAGAGCACTTCTACCCTAAACTTTACAAGGGAAAAGGTTAAAAAGTTCACTCACAAAATACACAGCCAGTAGTTAACACCTACAAAAGTCTCTGCTCAGACAAAATGTTCTCAAACCCAATCTTTTAGGAAAGAGGTGCAGCCAAGGCTACCCTAGATCACAGGGGACTGGGTTTTAGGCTACTCTCACCTACGTGGAGAAACTCCACCTCAGCTACTGTCCCCAAAGTGGCTCACAGCAAGGGCATAGTGAGAGGGCCTCCTGAGCTCGACAGTCACGCCACCTGCCCTGCTTCTGGTCTGCACTCCCACAGTGGCAAGAAGGGCCCCTGTGACACTTGTTCATGATGAGTCAGCAATGCCCTTGGGCCAGCCTGCTACAAAGCGGCCCAGAAAGAGCCACACTGCTCTGGATTCATGCCTGTGCAGACCCCTCCCACTCTGACTCTGAATCTGGGCTGGCCTACAACTTGCTTAGACCAAAATAATGGGATGGAAGTGACACAGTCCAGGTTCCCAGCCAGGTCTTAAAGGGCTTTGCTAACTCCTGCTTCTAGTCTCTTGGAGTCTGAGACACCAGGCCATGAAGGAGCCTGAGAGGAAGACCACGTGGAGAGGGCGGCCCAGCCACCCTTGCTGAGCCCAAGCCCAGCCCACCCTCCAGCTGAGTGCAGCTGCAGGGGTGAGCCCAGGCAAAGCCAGAGAAATAAGAAAAATAGTAAAATTGCTGTTTTAAGCCACTAAGTTTTGGGTGATCTGCAGTGCAGCAGGGGATGACATGCCAACTATACAGCTGACCCTTAAACAACACGGGTTTGAACTGTGCAGGTCAACCCACATGTGTGTGTTTTCAGTAGTAAATACTCCAGGTACTACACAACTTGCAGCTGGGAATCCGCAGACGTGGAAGCGCAGACACGGAGGGCTGACCATACATTATAAGTGGATTTTTACCTATGCAGAGGGTCAGTGCCCCTAACCCCCCGTTGTTCGAGGGTTGACTGTATATTCTACTTAGAAAGTTATCTTAGTGTAGGGGTTAAAAACATCGTGTCTGAAGTCATGCTGCCCAGGCTCAAATCCCAGCTCGAACACTTCATTGTATGACCCTCAGCAAGCTGCTTAGCCATTCTGGGCCTCAGTTTCCAGACATGAAAACTAGGGATAAGAATAATACCTAATAGCCAATAGAGGTGTCATGAGGATTAAATGAGTTAACATTATAAAGCATTGGGAACAGTGTAGAACATATAATAAGTGATTATTATAGTAATAATCACTTAAGTAATTATTAGAGAATTTCTAATAAGTAATTATTAGAGAATTTCAGAAGAATAACATACTTGACATTAACATAATTTATCTTAACTAGGGAATTTCACAGCATCCTAGGAAAACAATCGCAACTGTATCCCTCAAGAGGCAGCCATTTGCCCCCCGTGCCATAGTGTAGGTGACTCTGAAGAAGACAAGCTTTCAGAAGCTGGGACCCCCAGAGCCTCCACGGTCACAGGCACTAACCTGCATGGGGGAGACGGCTGCCGCAGGGGGTGTTTTCATGGGACTTGGACTCAGAGGCGTTCGAGGAATTGCAGCTGTAGCAGGGCTGGGGACTAGAAAAACAACACACACACAAGTAAATAATGAACACAACAAGGTGCAGTGCAAGCTTTCATAACTGCTCTCTCCTTAAGGGTTCACCCCATGAACCAGCGCTTGCGGCTCCCCTGGGAACGGGAGACACCTCACCTCCTCAACACTCACGGCTGCTCCCTGCAGCCGTCCTGCCGTCAGGCGGACAGTCTGTTCCTGAGACTACTTGTGTTTATTTCCAACCCTAACTACGCCAGTCATTTCACTTTTAATTACGCGGTTAAGTGCTCCATAAACCAAGGAAATCAAAGTACAAAAGCTCCAGGATGAGTGTTTCTGCAACTGCATCAGATGAGAAGCCTGGCTTGCCGTTCGCAGCATATTAAATGAAGGAACGCGGGGCTCTGCTCATCTTCCCTCAACTCCTCCTAAGGAGCTCGTCACTTCCCTCCACACGGATTTTCACACGTATTTCATTTAGTGCAATTAAATGTGTGTAATTGTCTGCTCACATGTCAGTCTCCCTCTCTAGACTGAACTGTTCAAAAGTAGGATCCTGGGAATTCCCTGGCAGTCCAGTGGTTAGGACTCAGCACCTTCGCTGCTGGGGCCTGGATTCGATCCCTGGTTAGGGAACTAAGATCCCGCAAGCCGCATGGCGCAGCCAGAGAAAAAAAAAATTAAATTAAAAAATAAAGAGGAGGCCACTGAATGAGCAGTGGATGGTGCGCCCCCAGTGATGGAGAGCAGAGCGGGTGTGGGTGCGGGAGGCCAGACCAAGAGGCCTGCTAATGGGTCAATGTCAAGGTGAGGAAAGAGGATTGAAGGAAGAAGGAAGATTCCAAGACTTCTGGCTTACGTGACTGGGTGGAATGGTGCTGCCATTCACATGGGGAAAGATGGAAGTTAAGGGACAAGATCTGGTTTCGGACGTGAGAAGATGTCTGGGAGACACCTGGGTGTCAGTGTTAAGTAGCATCTGAATACACTGGGCCTGAGGAGTTCAGAGCAAGGGAGAGGGCTGAAGTCCCACATCTGGAAGTTCTCAGGCACGGGAAGACACACATGCATGGGGTAAGGCCCTAGTCTGACTCCAAGATCTCTGAGGCTGAACAGATCCCAAATCTCCTGTTAAAATCCACCTTGCAGGAAGACTAACTCACTAACATCATATGAAATGTGATGAGACTCAGAGTAAGATGGTAAAGAACATCAACTAGAACACAGAACATGTGGTACATGAACATGACCGCCCGCTAGGGCACGATGGATGTTACCTTGAGACGCACTGTCGAATGACTTGATGAGGGTTTTCACCGTAGGGGTCGGCTCGGAGGAAGTCGAGGACCTTCTACTCAGCCCCATCCCCTGCCTCAGGGCTGCCAAGTCTCTCTCAACAGCATTCATGTAGTTATACACCCGGCCACGCTCCTCCTCTTGCCTGAAAACAGTACTGAAATCAGGGCATTTTTGTATACATACTAGAAAATACACATTTCCCCTTCCCAACTGAGAAGTATTAAAAAGTATCAGTTAAAAACAAGAAAATAGTATCAGTTGAGCTGAATAAATTACCTGGTCTAATATTCTTATTTGCTTGGTGAATTCCAGGAAATGATACTAAAATTTTTACATGAGGTTATCCTAACTAGGTTAAGTAACCATTAGTTTCCATTTTCATTTGTGTAAGTGTAAGGTGAGAACATCAGTAATCAATTAGCAGTAAAATGGGAGGTGGGCTCAGAACTAGGGACTGTAAGGTCCTGTGCTGTGGAGAAGGCCCTTCCCAGGACAGTGAGTCTGGGAATTCACAGCACATGCAGACAATTGATACCTGCTCTATCTAACATGCCATGCATAGGCGTGGAAATACAAAGAAATGAAATCAAAGCCCATACTCTTAAAATATTTTTTTTAAATGGTATAGTCACCAAATAGAATTTCTACAAAGGGAGAGGGGGGAAAGCCTGGACCCATATTGGTAACATGAATCTCCTACATGTGCAGTGTGAGTCAACTAAAAGAATGAATTCCACTTCACTTCTGGAAAGTTCTCATTCACTGAGCAAACACTAAAGTGTACATCTGGAAAGAGATTTCAGCTGCAGAGTTTGCATGTGTCATATAACTACAAGCCAGTTCATACTGTACAAAAATTAAGCCAGTCCTTAGGAAAATGTGTCTTTGGTGGCCATTTGGCTCTTATGACAGAGTTTTTTTGCCAAAATGCCTCATGCTTGGAAGTTTTAATAAAGAATGTACAGTAGCCATTATCCAACTTTTTGGTCTTAGAGCCCTTTTCCACTCTTAAAAACCACTGAGGACCCCAAAGAGCTTTTGTTTATGTGGGTTATAGAGATTGACATTTACCATATTAAATATTTTAAATATTTAACTCATCTAAAAATAAAAATAAACTCAGGGCTTATTAACATAATTAACATATTTTTATGAAAAACAACTATGTTTTCCCAATAAAAAAAATTAATAAGAAGAATAGCAATGTTTTTATTTTTTTAATTTTTTTTAAAAAAAATTTATTTACTTATTTGGCTGCACCGGGTCTTAGTTGCGGCATGTGGGAACTAGTTCCCTGATCAGGAATCGAACCTGGGGCCCCTGCATTGGGAGCGTGGAATCTTAGCCACTGGACCAGCAGGGAAGTCCCCAAGATAGCAGTGTTTTAACATTTCTGTACATCTCTTTAACGTTTGGCTTAATAGAAGACTGTCAGATTCTCATTTCTTTTGTATTCAATCTATTGTGACGTGAAAAAAAGCAGGCCTCACACAGATATGTAGTTGGAAAAGGGAATCATATATATATATATTTTTTTCTTTTAATAAATTTATTTTATATATTTATTTTTTGGGCTGCACTGGGTCTTCGTTGCTGTGCACGGGCTTTCTCTAGTCGCGGTGAGCAGGGGCTACTCTTCATTGCGGTGCGCATGCTTCTCATTGCAGTGGCTTCTCTTGTTGCGGAGCACGCGCTGTAGGCACGCGGGCTTCATTAGTTGTGGCTCACAGGCTCTAGAGCACAGGCTCAGTAGTTGTGGCGCACAGGCTTAGTTGCTCTGCGGCATGTGGGATCTTCCCAGACCAAGGATCAAACCCGTGTCCCCTGCATCGGCAGGCGGACTCTCAACCACCGCGCCACCAAGGAAGTCCAAGGAAGAATATTTTAATGATATTAAAACAGATAACTATGGCTATTCTTCTTTGATAAACACTAAAACAGAATAAGTGGTAGTAACTTATAAGTTAGTTAAAATGTAGAACCTGAAACCATATGAATGAATGAAATTTTCCTACTCTGTCCATCTCGCACTTTTAACACATATGGATTTTTTACCCACCCAGGATTGGCTGACATCATGCCCTGGTCATACGGAAAATACTGGTTCACAGAGTTACATGGATTTTCCAAGTGTCGATGCCTGTCATTAAACAATTTATTCTTTAGGGCTTCCCTGGTGGCGCAGTGGTTGAGAGTCCGCCTGCCAATGCAGGGGACACGGGTTCATGCCCCGGTACGGGAAGACCCCATATGCCGCGGGGCGGCTGGGCCCGTGAGCCATGGCCGCTGAGCCTGCGCGTCCAGAGCCTGTGCTCCACAACGGGAGAGGTCACAACAGTGAGAGGCCCGCGTACCACAAAACAAACAAACAATTTATTCTTTAAAAGTCTCTTGTTAATATCACTAGGGATCTCATCAGGAAACTCTTTATGGGAAGCTGCTGAGCTTGCAATGGCAGATACAAGTTTTCCAAAATCCTAACATTCACTTAAAAGCCCATGTTTTATTACTGGTACCAACCACTGTTAGTTGCTTTCCTTGAAGTGACAGGCTCCCTTAATCATTTTCAAGAAATATCCACCAAACACTAAAGTCTGAATACCAACAGCTTGTGTCAGTCATTCTCAAGTAAAAGTCTTCACTCCATGAAAAATGAAAACAGCACAAACTACAGTGACACGCAGTGCTCTCTTCCAGACTGCTGCACACCTGGGCACACAGCTGCAGATGCAGCAGCAGCTCCTTACGCGACTTCCCACCCATCTCATAGGACCTTAAAAAGAATACAATGGGGGGGCTTCCCTGGTGGCGCAGTGGTTAAGAATCCGCCTGCCAAGGCAGGGGACACGGGTTCGAGCCCTGGTCCGGGAAGATCCCACATGCCGCAGAGCAACGAAGCCCATGCGCCACAACTACTGAGCCTGAGCTCTAGAGCCTGCGTGCCACAACTACTGAAGCCTGCACGCCTACAGCCCGTGCTCTGCAACAAGAGAAGCCACCGCAATGAGAAGCCTGTGCACCGCAATGAAGAGTAGCCCCCGCTCGCCGCAACCAGAGGAAAGCCCGCGTGCGGCAACAAAGACCCAACACAGCCAAAAAAATAAAATTAAAAATTGGTTAAGACTTCGCCTTCCAATGCAGGGGGTGCGGGTTCAATCCCTGGTCAGGGAGCTAAGATCCTATATGCCTCACGGCCAAAAAACCAAAACATAAAACAGAAGCAATACTGTAACAAATTTGATAAAGACTTTCAAAAAAAAAAATGGTCCACATCAAAAAGAAATATTAAAAAAAAAAAAAAGAATATACTCAAGGACCAAGACAGAGTGATATTACTAATTTACTGCTTCACCAAGGACATCTGTAAGGGAAACCTGCATTTTGAAAATGAGAGTGGCTGGTGGGGAAGAGCACAATGACCACGAGTACAATTTGGTGCCAAGGCCTTGATCCATCAACAATTGCTGTCCACCATCTGTGCAAAAAGTCAACACAGTGAAGAGGGCAAACAGCACGTCAGCATTATTATGAAAACAGTTTGACCTCGAAGAGCCCCTGAAAGGGTCCTGGGGACCCCTGGGTCTGTAGATCTCACTCTGAGAACTGCTGCTCTACACAATGCTACTTCTCTCGGGGGCACATCCTTTAAGTGTGTGTCTCAAACACTGACAGGCTCTCGGGAACCAGTGGAACAAGTCTCGCAGAGTAGAATTTCAGTCACTTGGGCTACCTTTCGAATGGAGCATTTCTATTCACTCAGTGGTACAAAGGAGGAAGGGTAATGTACTAGTGGAGAATTAATAATCTTCCAACTCATTCCTCCGTGTTCTGCTTATTAAAGAAGCCAAAGAAAAATGGTTTAACAATATTTCCCACTGGGCATCCACTAGACCTAGGCAACAATAAAATAAGACAGCTCTCCAAGTTGGCCTGTTAAATATTTTTCTAAATTTTTTACCTAGGGCTGCTTAAGAATTGTTCAAAGTAATGAATAATCAAATTCTTCACAATAACCTCAAACTCTACTGATACTTAATAAAAATCTCAAAAACCACTCTCCCCCGCTCACAGATAGAATCTCACTAGGAACTCAGAGCACATCATCTAAGACTTTTTACGGGTTTCCAAAGAGTTCTATGTTAAATGGGAAAATACCTGTGTGTATTAAGCATAAGACAACTCCTCAAACAAGCGGTGGAGAGAAATCAGCCTGCATCCTTCACTTGGGTCTCTAAAATACCCGCTAATGGACACTGGCCGTGGCCCTGAGCGCCATCCACGGGTGTCTCACTTCAGCCCTACAACAACTCTGTGACACAAGCAGGACTGTGTCCACTGCAGAGACAAGCAAACTGAGGGCCTGAGCGAGCCCTCACACCCAGCAGAGGCAGAGCTGCACAGGGCCAAGTCTGTCTGCCTCCAGGGTCCACGTCCTCCGTGAGTACAACTCAAAGAAGAGCAACGGGCTGGGACGGGGGACAGAGGACTGGCGGGAACCACAATGGACCACATGCCAGCGGCCACTCCAACCCCTCCAGAGTTGTTGACTATGGACACTGACAACAGCTCTGAAAGGCCACAGAGACCACACTACTTTACCGGGGTCACAGAGTGAGGCCAGAAAAGGTGAGTAACTTCCACTGGACCCAAACTCAATCACACCAGTATCAAGCCTATGTTCTTTCCATAAAACCACATCACAGAACCGTGACTCAAGTGCTCCCTATTGAAACGTAAGTACAGAGCTGGTTTCTCAAAACATACTTGCGTGACTTTATTTCCTCCAACTCTTTTGTGAGTTTCTCATTCTTTTCTTGAGCCTCGTGTAATCGGCGCTTCAGATCACCAATCTCCTCTTGGGCTTCAGATTTAATGTCATTTGCGATGACCACCGCCGTCTGGAGATCAGCCTGAAACTGCCGCCATTCTGCTGATTCTTCCTACATTAAAAAACTAAACTTTTATTTCCAAAAGAGAGCAGTAAAGACTTATTTTAAAGCAATAAAATCTGTTTATGATTAGATTGCTATAATGCACTATCTCAAATGATGACTAATTTCTTTTAAATCCCAGAGAATTGCTATTACCTATTTCTAACAGAAAACGTAATTATTTTTGGTGAATGTGTGCTTAGTGAGGAAGAGAGCTTCCAGCTGATCTGCCTACTGAGGCATCAGGCACTCAGGGTGCTCAGTATTAACAATGATAATGTCAAGCCTCCCTTCCTCATGGCAGGTATCAAAGTTAGTCATACAAAAATAAACACAGCATCCAAAATGTACCTCTGAAAAGCTCTAGAAGGTAGATAAATGGTGTGTGAACCATACTGAAAGATTTTACAGGGAAACACTATAAATATCCTGACACCAAAAACTAACAGGAAAAAAAAAAAATCAAAAGTAAAGGAAAAGGAAGAGGAAGCCAGAAGAAAAACACTGAATTTAATCTAGGCAGACAAAAAAATCACACAAAGAGAGGAGCTGAGGACCTGTACAGGCTGCTGCTTCCTGCAGCCTCCGTGGCCGGGTGTGCTCCCCAGGGCAGCCCCTCTCCCAGAGCTACAGCTGCTGACTGGGCCCAGTGCCCACCACCCCAAGGCAGCCTGAGCAACTGAGGCAGAACCCAAACTACGAGTCCAGCTTCCCTGACCCTCTGCATCAGAGCAGAGCATTGCTGCCGTCGGCAGGCTGATCAAATCCACAGAAGACAGAAAACTCACAAGAAAAGCAGTTTAGTTTGGGACGCTTCATAATCCAGAGCTAATAAACTTTCTTTCCAAAATATAACACTCGCTTCCTAAATCCCTCTTTCTAAAGTTACCACTCATCAATTACTAGTACAGTCTTGCAACCAGAATCTAGCACCAGTCCCACTCTGAAGTGACAGCAGTAGCTTTCTGCCCAAAGCCCAGTGGGCTCAGTATTGTAACAGTATCTGAAGCTTCAGATTAAGGAGAGTGGGGTCAACGACACCAAAGTGCTCAACTTTCAGAAAACTGTGCTTTCTAATGAGATAGTATGTGAAGATTTATCCTACCCGAAGTCGCCTGTGGAGTGTCTTGATTTCTCTTTCCATGTCGTGTTTCTGGTCCTGGAGTTTTTTAACTGTATCTGAAAAGACCACAAAAGTTTAAATATTTATGCTTACAACTGTCTTCGAAAGGAATAATATAAAGGGAGGAGGTACTTAAATATGACATTCAGAAAGTCATCCTGCCCAAAGACTTTTTATTTTTGATACAAAACTTTAAAAGGAAAAAGGAATGTCCAATCCAAGTATAAACCAGTATTACTTTGTAAGGAAAATATCAAATTTAAATCACAACTTCTGGATGACTTCCTTCCTCAGCGTCTTAATTCTGAAACAAAAAGTTAAGTAAAATCAATTGTTAGAAACACACACAAATTGCTGGCTCATAACCAATCAAAACAACACTGACTGCAATTAAAATGGGAGATTTTAATCAAAAGGGTTATTAATCTAAAGTATTTTTGCAAGCATCACTTACTTTACACGCTGGAATAAATTCCAGAAAAGTGGTGAATTAGTAAAATGTTTACAAACTTAATTATTTAGTAACTTGGGGGAGGTGCTATTGAATTCTATGCAAAGTCTTTCACAAAATAAAGGATTAAGTAAATCAATTTCTCAAATTATTTCTAGCATAATATGAATTTCCTTCCAACAATGTCATGCACTGTGAACATCTGATGAGCACCGCTAATATGCAAAGGCCGATCTAGACAGAGTGGGGCTGCAAAGATGAAGACACAGCCAAGGCCAGTCCCCTGGGATCCAGAAATGTACAAGGAAGTCCCCTTCTATTTGGAGGTTCTGCTCAAAAACCCCTGTGTCAGGGGAAATGCCTGGGGAGGGCTCCATGCTGGTGCTGCTGCCCAGTGCCTCCCCACGGCTGGTCACTCCAACAGCTCAGGAGCCCATCACTGTCTCTCTGGTTAAGCACCAGAGCAGGCACTTACACCTGGTGACAAACACTCTGACTTCACCGACGCCCCCCTGCAGCAGAGCCCTGTCCTTTCTGTGTTCCGACTCTGCCTTACACAGCCTTGTTGCTGCCACTGCCAACAGGGGTGCGTTTCTTCACCCAGAGGCTGAGCACACCTCAGAGCCAGGAGCCACATGCCGAGGTTGCAGCCCCAGCACAGGCAGGCCTATAGAGTAGAGCAAGTGTATAAGTACACAAGCTAATGGAAGCAGAAGAGATAGCAATCCTAAGGTCATTACCTAGCATCAAGTGTTTCAATACTCCATTGCCAGAACTTAACTGTTTATTGTCAGGGATGTCAAACCATGGACACAGGTGTTTCTGAGTAAACATTCCCCCTACTCCTTACACGTAGCAGAGGGAACCCAGGCACAGCCAACACCTGTGTGCAACAACATGTACCCAAAACATCTCTTAGGCTGTTAGCTTCCAATCAAGACCCTGAAGTATGAGCAGGCTGATGCTTTTTCTGAGACTGCTCCACGTCTTCCTTCTCCGAATTCCACGAGGAACCTGCTCTGCTGAAACCTCTGAAACCTTAATTCAATGTTGATACATTTGTGTTGTGACATTTTCAAAAGGCATGAATTCACTTCAGTAACAATATAAAGTCTAGAATATTTATAACAATTATATGTGTAATGATTACTATAAACACATAATAATGATATGTTTTCTAAAGCTGAATACAAAAATAAATTAGGGGCTTCCTTGGTGGTGCAGTGGTTAAGAATCCGCCTGCCAATGCAGGGGACACAGGTTCGATCCCTGGTCCAGGAAGATCCCACATGCACGGAGCAACTAAGCCCGTGGTGCCACAACTACTGAGCCTGCGCTCTAGAGCCCATGACTCACAGCTACTGAGCCCGAGTGCTGCAACTATGGGAGCCCGCGAGCCTAGAGCCCGTGCTCTGCAACAAGAGAAGCCACCACGATGAGAAGCCTGAGCACTGCAATGACGAGTAGCCTCTGCTCGCTGCAACTTGAGAGCCTGCGTGCAGCAACGAAGACCCAAAAGCAGCCAAAAATAAAATAAATAATAAATAAAATTTAAAAATAAATAAATGAGGACTTCCCTGGTGGCACAGTGGTTAAGAATTCGCCTGCCAATGCAGGGGACACGGGTTTGAGCCCTGGTCCAGGAAGACCCCACATGCCGCGGAGCAACTAAGCCCCTGTGCCACAACTACTGAGCCTGCGCTCTAGAGCCCACGAGCCACAACTCCTGAGCCCGCGTGCTGCAGCTACTGCAGCCCGTGTGCCTAGAGCCCGTGCTCCGCAACAAGAGAAGCCACCACAATGAGAAGCCCGCGCACCACGATGAAGAGGAGCCCCCACTCACTGCAGCTAGAGAAAGACCGCACGCAACAACCAAGACCCAATGCAGCCAAAAAATAATAATAATACATAAATTTTAAAAAGATTAAAAAAAATTTTTTAATTAAAAAATGAGATAAAACATGGGTGGAAAAAAATGGCCATTTTTCGTAGCTAGTAGTCAATTTCCTCCCATTCATCACCCCAAAATTATTCCAAAAAGTTAGGGCCTATGAAATAAAAAGTTAATTAATTACTTTTACTCAGTAATTCAACAAACTGCTCATAAGTACCTACTTTGTAGCAGACTTTTTTACAAGGTGCATGAGATATAAGGGAAAGGAAAAAAGGTACAGTTCCTACCCTTTTAGAGACAGAAAAGAGGATGTTTTCATATGCAAAGGATTAAACTTTAAAAGTCTGTCTCTATACAAGCTGCTTCAGACCTCAATTAACCTGGAAACTTAATGGGCAAACGGGCCACCCAATTTGGCTGAGGGCAAAGTGGACAAGCAGGTGAGTGAGTGAGTCCAATACCCTGACCCGAACCTCCAGAGGAAAGGATGACTCTGGAACCAGCAGGGAACTTGGCTCCGTATGACCTACATGTAGATGAAATCAGGGTCTTGGTGATATTACCAGACATAGACAAGGAATAAGGACAGAAGCTAAAATATTTCTAGTGTGGAAAACACTAGGGGTTACACCTTTCATTTACACTATATTTATGTACAAAAAAATATATATATATATTTTTTTGCGACATGTGGGCCTCTCACTGTCGTGGCCTCTCCCGTTGCCGGACGCGCAAGCTCAGCGCCCATGGCTCACGGGCCCAGCCGCTCCGCGGCATGTGGGATCCTCCCGGACCGGGGCACGAACCCGTATCCCCTGCATCGGCAGGCGGACTCTCAACCACTGCGCCACCAGGGAGGCCCCAAAAAATATTTTTTAATTAAAACAAGCAAACAAAAAAATGTGTAATTTCTCCTCTGCTGAAAATCCTTTGCCTTTTCTTTTGGTCACAAAGGACCTATCTAGGTAACTTACATGAGACAGATGACAGCAAATCCTGCTGCAGCCCACTTTAACACCTGGTGCCTTGATTCCCAGGTGACATTTTAAGCCACATGGCCATCTTAGACTGATCATAAAATCCCAAATTTCATTCATTTATTTTGTTCTTATCCTTTTCTCACCAACCTCTACATTCATGGCCACAGAATTCACATGATCACTACTCTTAAAGGACATTCTTTTACCCTCAGCACTACGTATTTATTGTTGGCATGTCTTCTTTTAAACAGAAGGGAAGCTGGCAGCCAGTGGCCATATTCAGACCGAATAAAGCACACTTCAAGTGTCTCCAGGGAATCTGATTTAAACTTTACAAAAGCATTAAAAGTGACAACAAGCTTTTCCTCCCTGGAAACAAAGACTTCTATGCTCCAGTTCTCGCTGTGAAGAGGCTTAGCAAATAGCCACCTCTCCCAGTGACCAGTCACACAGGGCAGCTTAGCCTGCAACTCTGGGGCCTCTAAACGCAGTTTCCTTCCTCAAAGCTTTAAGTGTGAGAGACACTGCCATCTATTGCCTTCAACTCAAATGTAACATTAAATTCTATCAAAGAACAGAAGAACTACTATGACCTCATTTTTTAAATTATAAATTATAACTGAATTTTACAATGTTATCTTTATTCTAGAAGTCAGGTAAATTTCTATTCTCATTGTTATTAGTCCAACTTTGCTCTGAACAATTCTGGGACTGCCCTGCCCACTTAATAATGGGGTTCATAATCTTTTTCACCACCAAGACCTATCATCACCAACAAAACCAGAACCATCAACCAGGCCTCCATGCTGGTTCCAGTTACAGGTCAATCACTCCTGATGGTGTCACTGGGCAGCTACCACGGCACAGGATCTACCTACGACCCTTGGGGTGTAAAGTAATGAAATTTCCACCAACCTTTCCTATCCTCTGAGTCCCAGAAAACCCTTAGGGTACAGATACCCGAGTACTCAAGTCAGACTCCTGCATCTGGTCAAGCACCTCCAACTGCCATCAGGTGCAGTTTTTAGAGGAAGGGAAAGGACCAGAGGAACCTATCAGTTAAAGCTCCACACCTCAGGGGCAGGGGAACAGGGCAGGTGGTGTATCCAACTACCAGACCACAGCTTTACTCCCAAACCAGAACTCCTGATGCAGGAAGAGGACACACATGAGTTTCAAATAAACCATTTACTATTTTTATTTGTCTTTTTTTTTTTTTTTTTTAATTTTTTGGCCACACCACGTGGCATGCGGGATCTTAGTTCCCAGACCAGGGATCAAACCCGTGCCCCCTGCAGTGGAAGCAGAGGCTTAACCACTGGACCGCCAGGGAAGTCCCTGTCTCTGTTTTTTAATTTTTATTTTACTCATTTTTATCCCCCTCCAAAAAAGTAAATATAACTTTTACCCCTTGATTCTAAAAGTAATGCACGCTCACAGTAACAAGTCTGGAAAACAGAAAATGGTGACAAAAATAAGATTACCTAGCATTTACATTTGGCATATATCTTTCCAGATTCCATATATGTGTGTATTATTTTTAAAGAAAAATGAAATTATACTATTTATACTGCTTCACAAGCCCTTCCATTAAGCAGTAGATACTGGACACCTTTATCAATAAATACAGACCTGCAGCACCATTTTGATGGCCATGATAGATGGCCATCAATTGGTTGGCCATCAATGGCTATCAATTGGATATATCATGATTTGTCTCAGCAACCTCCT